ACATGTTTCAATCTCCCAACCCCTTCCCCATGTATATTACCCACCAGTGTTAATATTGGCAGCAAATTTTAATTTAGTTTTATTCATAGTCTTTTGCCTTAAAAGCCATTTTAGTTTTAATCATAATTTAGTCATCTGAATCGATATAGTTTTAGTCTAGTTTTCGACTAAAGTCTGAATCTAAAATTGTTAGTTGACAAAATTAACACTGATGGTTAGGCAGTACCTTTTATAATTTCTCTACAACAGTGTTAATGAATCATTGCAGTGCATTCGTATCCTACTCCCAACAGCCCTAAAGAAGGAGTTTTCCTGGCTTCCCCCATTGTCAAGGCCCCCCTATGTTGCAGAAGGGGATAAAATCCCCTTCTGTCACTAACCTGGGTCCAGCAGCAATGTGCCTCATCGCTGGCTCGGGTTCGCCTTCTCTCCTCCCCCACCGACATCAGCCGGCGGGGAAGACCTAATGCCTACTCCCAAGAACTCCTAAAAGGGATAATATACTAAGAACAGCAGCAAGAGCATTTCAATGTGAGCTTAAGGAAGAGTCGTCAAACAGGCATCCAGGCAGGTCCTTTTATTAGTATACAAAAAATAGTGCAAACGAATAGGCGCTAGACAACATGCAGCTATAAACTCTGTGGAACCAATCACTAAATATTTCACCAAAGATAAGATTATATGAAATAGTGTTTAGTGCAAAGTATGTAAGAACAATATATACTAATCTTGATCCCAGGGGTCACTCCACCCAATCTGTATAAAAGTGAGTATAGATATACCTAAGGATGAATACACTAGCACAGCTTCTTTCTGAAAAGATAAACAGACAATACACTCTCATAGAGTTGTATAGTAATGTCCCACATTTTTGCAGTAAATGTATTCTTTAGGTGATCAACTCACATTTTAATGAGTCTGTTAGCAAACTGGCTCAGGTAATACAACATTATAAGACAGTGCAGGTCCCATTCAGGAATAGCAGAAATAGATGAAGAGCACCAACTTTTGACAAATAATATTTATTATAAAAAGGTAAAAGTATACATACAGAAAAGTGTCTCCAATTCCAATATCACAACACGTTAACACTAAAATCTGCGTCTTCCTCAGGTGCATTTTGGGACATTACTATACTACTCTATAAGAGTGTATTGTCTGTTTATCTTTTCAGAAAGAAGCTGTGCTAGTGTATTCATCTTTGGGTATATCTATACTCACTTTTATACACATTGGGTGGAGTCAACACTGGGATCAAGATCAGGTAAGTGAGGGATGGGGGGACAGCCTACAGATCAGGTAAGTGAGGGATGTGGGTACAGCCTATAGATCAGGTAAATGAGCTATGGGGAGTGGCAGCCTACAGATTAGGTAAGTGAGGCATGGGGTGGGAAGCTTACATATCAGGTAAGTGAGGCATGGGGGGCAGCCTACAGATCATGTAAGTGAGATATGGGGGGGGGCAGCCTACAGATCATGTAGGTGAGGGATGGGGGCAGCCTACAAATCAGGCAATGAAGGATGGGGGAAGCCTACAGATCAGGTAAGTTAAGCATTGGGGGGAAGCCTACAGATCAGGTAAGTGAGGCATGGGGGGCAGCCTACAGATCCTTTAAGTGAGATATGGGGGGGCAGCTTACAGATCATGTAGGTAAGGAATGGGGACAGCTTACAAATCAGGCAATGAAGGATGGGGGGCAGCCTACAGAACAGGTAAGTGAGGGATGGGGGGACACAACCTACAGATCAGGTAAGTGAGGGATGGGGGGATGCAGCCTACAGCTCAGGTAAGTGTGGCATGGGAGGGGCAGCCTACAGATCAAATAAGTGAGGGATGGGGAGAAAGCCTACAGATTAGATAAGTGAGGGATGGAAGGCAGCATACAGATCAGGTAAGTGAGGCATAGGGGGCAGCCTACAGATCAGGAAAGGGAGGCATGGGGGTGCAGTCTACAGATTATGTAAGTAAGGCATGAGGGGTAGACTAAAGATCAGGTAAGTGATGGATGGGGGACAGCATATAGGAAGGGTCAGCAAGGAGCAGGAAGGTAAGGTTGGAGAAGGAGCAGAAAGGAGAAGGAACAGAAATATGCAGGAATGGACATCAAGGAGCAGAAAGGGTAAGCAATGAGCTGGAAGGGACAGAAGGAGCAGAAAGGTAAAGCAGGAGAAGAGCAGAATGGAGCAGAAATGAGCAGCATGGGGCAGCAAGGAGTAGAAAGGGTCTGCAAGGATCAGAAAGGGTCTGCAAGGAGCAGGAAGGGACTGCAGAAATAGTCAGAAAGGAACAGAAAGGGGCTGCAAAGAGCAGAAAGAGTAAGCAAGGAGCAGGAACAGTCTGCGAGGATACGGATGGGTCTGCAAGAAGCAGGAAGAGTCAGCAAGGGGCAGAAGGAGCACAAAGGTAAAGGAGCAGAAAGAATCAGAAGGAGCACAAAGGTAAAGCAGGAGAAGGAACAGAAAGGGTCAGAAATGAGCTGGAAAGGGCAGCAAGAAGCAGAAAGGGTCATTAAGGAGCTGGAAGGAGCAGAAGGAGCACAAAGGTAGAGTAGGAGAAGGAGGAGAAAGGAACAAAAATGAGTAGGAAGGGTCAGCAAGGAGCAGAATGGGGCAGCATGGAGCGGGAAGTATCTGGAAGAAGAAGGAAGGGGCTGTAAATAGCATAAAGAGTCAGCAAGGAGCAGGAAGGGTCTGCAAGAAGTAGGAAGGGTCTGCAAGAAGCAGTAAGGGCCTGTAAGGAGCAGAAAGAGTCAGCGAGGGGCAGGAAGGGACAGAAGGAGCACAAAGGTAAACGAGCAGAAGGACTCAGAAGGAGCAAAAAGGTAAAGTAGGAGAAGAAGCAGAAAGGGGGCAGCAAGTAGCTGGAAGAGGTAGAAGGAGCGCAAAGGTAGAGTAGGAGAAGGAGCAGAAAGGAATGGAAATGAGCAGGAAGGGGCAGCAAGGAGCAGGGAGGGGCAGCAAAGAGAAGGAAGGGGCAGCAAGGAGCCAGAAGGGTCTACAAGGAGCAGGAAGGGGCATCATGGAGTAGAAAGGGGCAGGAATGAGTTGGAATGGGCTGGAAGGGGTAGAAGGAGTGCAACAGTAAAGTAGGAAAAGGAGCAGAAAGGAATAGAAATGAGCAGGAGATCAGCAAGGAGCAGGAAGCATCTGCAAGGAGCAGAAAGGAACAGAAGGGGCAAGAAGGTAAAGGAGCAGAAAGAATAAGAATGAGCACAAAGGTAAAGTTGGAGAAGGAGCAAAAATTGTAGCAAGGAGCAAAAATTGTAGCAAGGAGCAGGAAGGTAAAGTAGGAGAAGGAGCAGGAAGGAGAATGAACAGAAGTGAGCAGGAAGGGACAGCAAGGAGCAGAAAGGGTCTGCAAGGAGCAGAAAAGGATCAGAAAGAGACAGGAGCAGGAGGGCGCAAAAGAAACAGAAAGTAACAGAAAAGTAAAGGAGCAGAAGAAGACAAGGAGTAGAGAAGACAGTGTCAGATGAATAAGAAGACTATGTCAAATGAAGAAGAAGAAAACCCCTCCACTTTATTCTGGACACCACATCATAAGGCTTTGATACCTGGGCCTGGCAGGGAAACGTTGGACCTTCTCATCTCCCCAGGTTAAAAAAATCTCAGTGTCAAGGTGTCTTTTATTTACTGAGTGTCAGGAAGCACAGAGTGCTGTTGGGTAGGGGTGTCACTGATTGGCTAGAGCGGTCAGCTGGCACTCTAATCCATTTAGTAGCTTATGAACTGGGAACTAGCGATTGGCTTAGAGCATCATCTAACTCTAGCCAATCAGTGGCACCCATGCCTGACATCAATCTGCACTTCCTGACACTCCATTTTAGAATACTACTGAGCAACCTGGAGATCTGGAGCTGGAGGAAGTATTTAGGGATAAATCATTTGAGAGAGGTTTAACCCCTTAAAAGAAAGAGAACACCCAGGGGCCTCCTGGCATCATAGCATTTTCATTTAGATGAAGTTGTTATGAAGAATGTTCCTTTAATTTGATTAAAGGAACACTATAGTGTCAGGAATACAGACATGTATTCCTGAGACCATAGTTGTGAAAACACTATTCACCCTGGCTTTATTAGATAATGACTATGCCCATCCCCTTCATGACACTGTCAAAAAAAAGGGCCAAGCATGGATGTCATTATAATTTTGCCCCCCCTCACCCGGAAAAATTCCCTCGGACGCTCATGGCTATTTTAATTCAGAACAGCAGCAGAAGATTGTTTGAACGTGAGCCCAGAGAATAAGTGCCCTTCACACCCCTAAAACGTGAAAAAAAAAGGTTGAGGAGAAATTACTCCTCTCCAATCAGTCTGTGTCTGCATTAACCTATAGAGACAGATAGTCAAGTTTGGGTAGGTTTAATTTTAAATAATGTAATTTTCTCCATTAATTATGGTGAGCACTTTGACCTTTAGGGATTGAGAATTCTGACAGTAAGAGAGAAAACTCTCTCTCTAAACACTTGTGGATGGGCATGACTGCAATTCTGTGCCATTTAGGAGTTTTATGTTTATGTTGCCCTAGTCACACCTCCCTGCATGCACTCTATAGTTTATACTTCCTGTATTGCAAATTCTGATTAATTTAGAATTTTTGTATCCCCTTCTCTACAGGAGCCTCCTATATGAGATTAAAGTGCAATTTACAGAGCAGGAGATAAACTTTTAAAGTAAGTTATATCTGATTCAAAATGAAACCATTTTGTTTTCATGCATGCTGTGTCAGTCACAGTCAGGGCAGTTGTGGATTGTAGCCCATGGAGCAGCGCAGCTAAGGGGAAAGTTCAAACAGGTACGAGGGGAATCTATAGAATGTTCCGGCCGCAAATAGGAGGGATGTATGAGCCATGAACACCCCGGTGAGTGATCCCCCATCCTTATGGGTCACAAGTCACGCGGCAGCGGGTGTGTGGCGGATGCTCAGGCGCTAGCCACTCAGGCAACAGTGGGGTCCCCAATTGCTGGTAAGAATAGACGAGCTTCTCTTTCCCTTGGCAGATCATGGGAGAGGAGTTTTTCCCCAGGGTCGCCTCCCAGGTTTACATCCAGGTCGCCAAGCATGAGTCAGAACAGCCCAAGAAGCTGAATAGGGTTAAGAACATTGGAATGGGTCGTGAATGTCTTCGGAAAACCGCTGGCGGGCAACAAGACTCAGGTGAGTATTGTTTGGAGTTATTATGCAAATACTGTAACTCTGTTTGCTTATGGTAATACTGTAGTGCCTTATACTTCATGTTTCCTGTTTACCTCTGATGTCGATGTAGTTCTATAACCTAACATGGTTCCTCAGACTAAAAACTTGTAATGTCTTCATTGCTATAACTGAAACATGGAGTCAGAAATCAGTACTTTGCTTTGGATTTAAGCTTGGGAATGTCTACCCATGCTTCTGTGGTGAAATCTGAAGCGAATTTTAAATCCTTGGAATTTTCCCATAATGTATCTCTGTTAATTCCTTTGGAGATGTCTTTACTAAGTGTAGCGGCCCGGACACTTACAGCCCTTGACAACGATGTTAAGACCACTACAGGATGCATTGCTTCCGCTAAAGAGGTGTAATTCTTGATCAGGTTAGTATCCAATTGTTTTTTCATTGGTTTTCTCAAAGATGCTGGGCTCTCTATTGGTAAAACAGTACTTTTTGTGACTTTGATTATCGCTGCATCCACTTTTAGTGGCGTGTTCCAGAATGTTGTGTCTGATGATTGGAATGGATATAATATACTAAATTTCTCCTCATTGACACATGTTTCTCTGTTTTTTTCCATTCTTATTCTATCGGATCTTTAATGGTGGAGTATATAGGGAAAGTAATTCTTCTCCTGTGCCAGTCCTCAAAGTATATATCTGAGTTCTTAGCTTCTCCACGATCCCCTGTGATTCTTTGAGTGTCTCTAATTGGAGAAATTAGTGAATAAACAGCTTTACCATCTAGGTTAGAAGGGTAATCCATACTCTCTTCATCCTCTGATGAGTTAGAGTCATCTTGGATCTGAACCTCTGACATAGAGCTTGAGGAATCTTCTCTTGCTCTATTAGGTTTTTTAGAGGAATGCCTTTTGCAAGTCTCCTTTTTAATCCCACCAGCCACAGCCTTGAAAATTACCTCAGACAGATTTGGGTTAATTACATAGTTACATAGCTGAAAAGAGACTTGCGTCCATCAAGTTCAGCCTACCTCACATTTGTTTTTTGCTGTTGATCCAAAAGAAGGCAAAAAAACCCAGTTTGAAGCACAATTTTGCAACAAGCTAGGAAAAAAATTCCTTCTTGACCCCAGAATGGCAGTCAGATTTATCCTTGGATCAAGCAGTTATTACCCTACATTGAAAGATTATATCCTTGAATATTCTGTTCTTGCAAGTATGCATCTAGTAGCCGTTTGAACATCTGTATGGACTCTGATAAAACCACTTCTTCAGGTAGAGAATTCCACATCCTGATTGTTCTTACAGTAAAAAAACCTTTCCTTTGCCTTAGACGAAATCTTCTTTCTTCCAGTCTAAACGCATCGCCTCGTGTCCTATGTAAAGTTCGGTTTGTGAATAGATTTCCACACAATGGTTTGTATTGGCCCCGAATTTATTTGTATAATGTTATCATATCCCCTCTCAGGCGACGTTTTTCTAAACTAAATAGGTTTAAATTTGTTAACCTTTCTTCATAGCCGATATGTTCCATTCCTTTTATTAGTTTTGTAGCCCGCCTCTGCACTTTTTCTAGTGCCATAATATCCTTCTTTAGAACAGGTGCCCAAAATTGCACAGCATATTCAATATGGGGTCTTACCAGTGATTTATAAAGAGGCAAAATTATATTCTTGTCCCGAGAATGAATGCCCTTTTTCATGCATGACAATACCTTACTGGCCTTGGCCACTGCTGATTGACATTGCACATTGTTGCATAGTTTGTTGTCTATAACAATTCCCAAGTCCTTTTCGTGTGTTGTTATCCCTAATTCGCTTCCATTAAGGGTATACGTTGCTTGTGTATTCTTTACGCCGAAGTGCATAACTTTGCATTTTTCAACATTAAATTTCATCTGCCATTTGAGTGCCCAGTCCCCCAGTCTATCTAAATCCCTCTGCAGCAAAGTAATATCTTGCTCACATTGTATTGTTTTACAAAGTTTGGTGTCATCTGCAAACACTGAAACATGACTTTCAATGCGGTCTTCAAGATCATTTATAAACATGTTAAATAGAAGGGGTCCCAGAACAGACCCCTGAGGGACACCACTTGCCACCTCTGTCCAGCTTGAAAATTTACCATTAATGACAACTCTTTGTACTCTGTTTTTAAGCCAATGTTCTACCAAGAACAAGCATTTTCATCTAGACCGATTTCCTTGAGTTTGAACACTAATCTATTGTGTGGAACTGTATCAAATGCCTTGGCAAAATCCAAATAGATCACATCCACAGCAACACCCTGATCTATACTTCTACTTACTTCTTCGTAGAACGCAATCAAGTTAGTTTGACATGACCTGTGCTTCATAAAACAATGCTGATTTTTGCTGATAACCATTTTCTTCTCAAGGAATTCTTGAATATTATCCCTTAATAACCTTTCAAATATTTTACCAGCCACAGAAGTTAAGCTCACAGGTCTATAATTTCCAGGCAAGGATTTTGAACCCTTTTTGAATATAGGAACCACATCTGCCTTCCTCCAATCCTCCGGAACACTTCCTGAAAGAAAAGAATCTTGAAAGATTAAAAACAGAGGTTCACTTATTTCTACACTTAGTTCCTTAAGTACACGTGGATGGATACCGCCAGGCCCTGGAGCTTTGTTTATATTAACTTTCTTTAGTTGCTGCAGCACCTTGTCTTGAGTTAACCAATTACAATTATTCTGCAAGTTTTTAGTAGCAATCATTTGCACATCTATTGCCATGGGTTCTTCCTTAATATATACAGAGGAGAAATAGTTATTTAAAATTCCTGCCTTTTCCTGGTCTTCATTAACTAACACCCCCGTTTCAGTTTTTAGTGTACCTACACTTTCATTTTGTTTTTTTTTAGAATTTATGTACTTAAAAAATGCTTTGGGGTTGGTTTTGCTCTCTTCAGCTATCATTATTTCATTTTGAAGTTTAGCAAGTCTAATTGCCTTTTTGCATGCATTATTTGCATCCTTATATCTTTTATAAAATGCATCTGATTTGTCCAATTTAAATGCTTTAAATGCCCTTTTCTTAGTTGTAATCTCTTGTTTTACTTCTCTACTAAGCCGCATTGGTTTTAATTTGTTTCTTTTATATTTATTTCCCAACGGTACATACTGAGAAATGTACCTTTTGAATATTTGTTGGAAGATGATCCATTTATCCTCAGTGTTCTTTTCACTAAAGAGTTTATGCCAGTCAATATATTGTAAAGCTTCCCTTAACTTATTGAAATTGGCCTTTTTAAAATTATATGTTTTAGTATTCCCCATGTGCTTTTGTTTTTTTGAGTTTATTTCAAAGGACACTATATTGTGATCACTATTTCCCAAGTGCTCACCTACTTGAATGTTGGTCAAAAGATCAACGTTGTTTGTTAAAACCAGGTCCAGACAAGCATCCATTCTAGTTGGTGCTTGTACAAGTTGTGACATGAAGGTGTCATTTAACAAGTTTAAAAACCTAATTCCCTTTGCTGAGGCACTAGTCCCTCTGTCCCAATTTATATCTGGGTAATTAAAATCTCCAATAATTAAAGTGTTAATGGTATCTGCAGATATAGGTGCTCCTTCATTTGCTATGATTTAAAGCAGTCTCTGCATAAGTTTTCCCCTTCAATTGCATCAGATGGGCAGGCATGATATTGCCTGGATTTTCACTTATCCTTGGAACTTTATCTCTCAGGCTGTCTCAGGCTGATATATATATGTATAGGTAGGATTGTGTGTGTGTGTGTGTGTTTATATCTATCTATATATATATATATATATATATATATATGCCACCCATATATAGGTATAACCATTAGGCACTCTTTTATAATATAGGTAAAAAAACTCACCTTTAACTTCTATATCTGATTGTAGAGATGGAGGAAGAGGAAGCCATGGTCACCAAAAGGCTACAAAGCAATTGAACTAATTACAAACATATACCAGCAAAATAAAACTCATTAAAAACTTTTAATATAGAATTATAGTAATTCCCTTACCTTTATGATAAAGATCAGGGTTAAAACCAACATTTAGCAGCAGCAAATTCACCAAACAAACTATCCAGAAGGAAATATCCCTCTGGCCCTTTAAGGCAGTTTGCACATGCTCAGTGCAAACCGGAAGACACCGATCGGCCATTTTGGATTCTTTAGATTGAATCCCCAAGTCTGGATGTTAGCAAATTGCACTAAAACCAGCACAACTTTTTTTTAAGGAAAAAGGCATGGAATAGGTCTGCCAGAGGACCCTGAAGCCAATAGAGATAAAAATAACTATTTATAAAGCTGAAATTGATCACAATGGCCATTTTGGTACACCCAACATGCACTTAAAGGACCACTATAGTGCCAGGAAAACATACTCATTTTCCTGGCACTACAGTGCCCTGAGGGTGCCCCCACCCTCAGGGTACCCCTCCTGCCGGGCTCTGGGAAGAGGAAGGGGTTAAAATCTTACCTTTCTCCAGCGCCGGGCAGGGAGCTCTCCTCCTCCTCTCTGCCTCCGATCCTCCTCTTCGGCTGAATGCGCATGTGCGGCAGGAGCTGCGCGCGCATTCAGCCAGTCTCATAGGAAAGCATTTATAATGCTTTCCTATGGACGCTGGCGTCTTCTCACTGTGATTTTCACAGTGAGAAGCACGCAAACGCCTCTAGCGGCTGTCAATGAGACAGCCACTAGAGGCTTTAGAGGCTGGATTAAGGAGGAGAAAGGAACAAAAATGAGTAGGAATGGTCAGCAAGGAGCAGAATGGTTCAGCAAGGAGTAGGAAAAAGCAGGAAAGAGCAGTAAGGGGCAGCAAGGAGCAGAAAGGGGCTATGTTTATGAAAAAAAGGGTTAATCCTAGAGGGACCTGGCACCCAGACCACTTCATTAAGCTGAAGTGGTCTGGGTGCCTAGAGTGGTCCTTTAACCCCTTAAGGACACATGACATGTGTGACATGTCATGATTCCCTTTTATTCCAGATGTTTGGTCCTTAAGGGGTTAAGGTAACCAGGCTCCCTTACAACCTCAATATTCGATTTAAAAGTTGTAGAATTTAGTCCAGCATAGTCCAACATTCAATTTTACTTTATCTTTCTTTACTAACTCCATATTACAGCAATGAAAAGTGAAACTGAGAACCAATCAAACAATATATATGAGGCGTGTATAATTGAAGCACTTCCTTTTTTTGCTGCTCCATCAAAAGTTATTTACAGAGTTTTTGGTTCTCCTCTCTCTGTTCTTTCTAGAATCATATTCTACACTAATTACTACTTTTTATTGTCTTTATATTATTTATTGCTTTTATTTAAATTGGCCATACCACCTTTTGGGTGGCTTCAGTTAAATTTTATATATATACTATGTTATATATTTGGGGTTCTTCCCCTGATTATTACTTGCTTATTTCCTTTGTTGTGGACCTCGAGGGTTCCACCACTTCCCTCTCAGGCTTTCCCCCCACATTCTGGGGTCCCTGACCTTCCCCGCACCTATCTGTTAACTCATAATGTGCGGGTTGCAGAGGGTCGCCAAACTGATCATGTCTCAGAAACGTTTCCATTCTGGCGAACGTTTGCAGGCCAAATGTTGATATACAAGCTTATGCTGTGCATTCATTTTTTCACTGTGCTAATGTTCAGGGAGACTAGTTCACTCACACACAAACTCTTGGGATAAAGGCGTTCACGGGCAAGCATTCCAATGCCTTTTTACCCACGAACACCTCCCGAAAAACTGGATGGTTTGGTCGTAGGCATGCATCCCGGTGGCCATTTTGTGATTTTACGTTTTTTTTACTGTAAACTGCTACTGTTGTTCGGTTTTTCTCCCGCTACAAATAGGTTTATTACTCCTGTTGCTCTGTCTGCTGGATACTCTCTGGGAACAGGCATCAGGTTAGTACTCTGCACTTGGTTTGGTTAGTTCAGTGGGTGTATCCCTTATCCTGGCTGGGTTGAGCCCCCTTTTTCTGTGCTGCCAAACGGGACCTGTCCATGAGCCCCAGTGATCTACCACAGCCTTCTCCATCTGTCTTATTCCTCAGACACGGTTGCTGATTTAGGCTACACTAAGGCCTACTGACATACCATCACCCTGGTTCCTAGGCCTCTGCTACTCTCAGAGCCCTATATTAAGTCCATTTATGAACATGGAAGAGCCACAGACTCCAACTGACTTACAGGCTATGATTGTAGCTGCAGTTGTGGCATCTATGGAGAAGGCATTGTCTCAAACGTTCGCTACCGAACACATAACTAGACCTACGTCCAAGAGAGACTACGAAGATTCAGCCTCCCTACACACCATCGGAATGGAAAAAGCTCTAAGGCAAAAAAGTCCAAAGGCAAAGGACCCGCCCAACGCAGGGAGTACTCTAAATGCACGGTCCCCAGCCTGCCACAAATCCCTCCTCAGATGATGAACAAGACCGTCCACAAACACTCTAGGGGGTAGACGAGTGGCAAGTGGAAGCATCCGACTCAGATGATGATGCTTGGGACTCTGAGTTCAGGTCTGATAAGACTTTTCAACTGGACATATTTCTGGGTTAGGAAAATACCAACAGGTTATCTACAATACAATAATAGCAGAACATTATGGACAATTATGCTCATTTACAAGCGGTGGAACACATGCATTGGAACGCATCGCCATATCTAATTCCGACGTCTGCACGTCTGGACGCAACATGAAAGTGAGACTTGATCCGCAAACCCGGAAGCACTTGAGTGATGAACCTGGACGCGTTCCTCTGCACTATTATTATTTCCTTTCCTTACATGTATTGATGTCCTATATGTCCCGAGGTCGCTTCAAAAACTCCATTTAGTGATATGCCTACATTCAATTTGGGCTTGTAAGTGCATTTTATTCTACTTTACAATCCATTTTATATTTTGCAATATTGTCAAATGTATTGTAGCTAACCTGTTGGTATTTTACTATTTTTTACTGAAAACTCAGAGGAGTCCTTTATGTACATACTATCAGGTAATAGGGTAATTTTGACATTTCATTTATTACCCACTGAGTGTGTTTTATCCACTATTAGGTGTTTCTGTAATACACAATATTTTGCTACATTTGCTACATTTCTGCGTTAGCCCCAGAGTGAGAAAGCCCTGACTGGTGAGGCTCCTAATGCGCAGGATGACTCCGTAGTCTTCTTGGATGCCTCTGGAATCCAGATGCTGGACCCTAGGAACATCCAACACCCTCGCTCTGAGGAATGAACACACCTGGATAACCTTGCAAAGTTCATGCATTTCTGTCTCCCAAACCATTAGATAAATAGGGTGCCCTCGTCCCATGCTGCCAGATTAGGTGGCCTTCACCCATAACTTCGATGAGCTCATGTGGACATTCATGTCCTATGGGACCCATGAAAAGGGGTGGAACGTGGATTCAAGGGAGCACAGGACAAACTACTCGATGCCATAAGGCCTCTGGCAAGAGTTATGGACTTGGCTGATGAGCAGAGAGGCCTATTTTGCCTTCACCTATGCACTTCACACAGCAACCACCAAACACAGGACCAGACCCGGAGAGCACTGCGGTGGATGCCTTCTTGTAGACCTAGCCCTGCGCAATTATTGCGAGGGTCCTCCAACAAGTCCACCTGCAGAGGGTGACACTGAGTCTCCTAACCCCCCTCTGGCATGGACAGCGTTTGTTCCAGGAACTGCTGGAGTTGTCGTGTGAGGATCCCTTCCTCCTACCACCCAATCCAATTATTTTCCTGAACCCGATGGCACAACCACATCCACTTCTCCTGGAAGGCCGTCTCCCACTGGTGGCCTGGATGCTTCCTGGGGTTGCTGGCGTGTCGGAGACCTATCAAAAGATTCTAAGGATGTTTTATGGGACTCCTGGGCACCAAGAACAAGGAGATGCTACCTCACAGCCTGGCAATCTTGGTCCGATTGGTGTGTGGGACGGGACTTTTGATCCCTTTACTGCCGCTATTTCCGCTATTCTGAATATCCTTTCTTCCCTTTTCTCATCAGGAAAGTCATATTGCTCGATCAATGTAATGCAGTCAGCCATTTCAGCGGCTCATGTTCCTTTACAGGGGACTCCCGTGGGTCAAGATCCCCTCATTTGTCATCTTCTCCACAGCATGCGTCTGTGGCGTCCTACAGGACCAATAAAAGGACGACTTTGGGACGCAGTATCGTCATTCAATTTTTATGCGATAGGCCCCTTGTCGACAGACTACCCCCTTGCCAGCTTCCGACCAAGTTTACCTTTCTTCTCTGCGTAGTCTACTTTTGACGGGTCTTGGACATTCGGGCATTCAACATGGATGCGTTTGTGTTTTGTCCTCCGGGTGTTACCATTCAGGTTTCACAGCGTACCAAACATTGGCTTTTTGGATTTTGGGACACTTTTTCTGCCCCTTTGAATCCATGGGAAGGTGTGCCTTCCCCGCTCCCCACCCCCATTGTTCTCCAGCAGGGCGTTGTCCCAGGGACCCTGCCAGACCAGTTGGAACTGACTGATTTGTCCCTCCTCGGTCAAAAACTTCCCAGTATATACCAGCGTTTGTGGGACCAAGCAGCCCAACGGAGGTCGCTTCTGGGGGAGCAACACAGTACTGAGCGGGTAAGATGCCTGCAATCCCTAGTAGAACGGGAACTGATACTGGATAATATCTACCGGGAGCTGTGGTGGCACGCAATACAACAGGATGTCTGGCTGTCGGAGGGGGCTTCGCCGGAAGGGAAGGACTATGGTGGCCTCGGTCTGGTATGGAGGGCCCTTGAGGAGGACAATGATTTCGGCAGTCCTACCCAGTCACGCTACTGGGCCATTTATGCCCACCGGAATGCTGTGCTGCAGTATCCCTCACTCCAGGGATTGGGACCTGACCTTGCCCGTCTGTCTGCAATGGAGTTGGAAATCAAAAGAGATTATGTGGAGCTACTCAACGCAGTTCAGTCACCAGGCAGTGGCGCAGAACAGGAGATCTGGATGACATCCCCAGACCTGCCACCTTACAGCTGGGAAGATCCAGAAGGGGACCGCGGTGAATGCATTCACTACCAGCTGAAAAAGTAGACTGGTCCTGGGAAGACCCACAGGTGGCAGGTGGATATGGGACCGAGGTCTCTCTACCGGCCCTACCAGGATGATGGGCTGCAGGCCCAGATCTCCAGCGGCAGTGTGGTGAACAGGGAGGGGACACAATCGGTCTAACTCCCCAGCAACAGTGCAAATCCCAGGGAGCTGAAGGTGTAGTCCTTCCTCCCCAACAGCAGTGTGTATCCTTAGGAGAAGAGACAGTCGGTCTCTCTCCCCAGCAGTCAAGTGTGTTACAGGGAGTGGAGACAGCCAGTCTCACTCCCCAGTGGCAGCATGTTTCCCAGGGAGCTGAAGGTGTCGTCCTTCCTCCCCAGCGACAGTGTGTATCCTTAGGAGAAGAGACGGTCGGTCTATCTCCCCAGCAGTCAAGTGTGTTACAGGGAGTGGAGACAATTGGTCTCACTCCCCAGTGGCAGTGCAAATCCCAGGGAGCTGAAGGTGTCGTCCTTCCTCCCCAGCGGCAGTGTGTATCCTTGGGAGAGGAGACAGTCGGTCTCTCTCCCCAGCAGCAGGACAATTTATTGGGAGTGGAGACGGTCGGTCTCCCTCTCCTTGGCAGCATGTGCTTCAGGGAGAAGAGCCTATCGCCCTCTCTCCCCAGCTGCAGTTTACCCTACAAAGGGGAGACATCATCCTCCCAGACGGTACAGATTGGACCGTGGTCTCTGCGCCCGACCTTCCAGGATGTTGGACAGCCTGTTCAGATCCCCAACTACCCTCGCAGGGATACCAGGAGGAGAGGTTAAGTGCTATTTCCCAACCCAAGCCAAGGCCCAACCAGGCTACCCCAGCAGAAGCGCTGACATCGAGGCAGAGCAGAACTGACCTCTGCCCCCCAAGAACCCATTTGTTGTGGGGGGGCTCTTCTTGTACTTGGGTATTGTGGGTGGGTTGTCAGACTAACTCAGGCTCCGACCAACAGAAGGTACTGATATCCTTCGTGCAGCAGCTTGGACACGTGAAACCAAGTTCTATATTCGTCCCCCTAAAAATAGTGCTTTTTCTTTTCTATCTCAGTGTTGAAATTGCAAAATATGAAGCCTCATGTCATGTGGTAAAATTGAAGATTATGCTAGCTTTAGTATACTAATAATCTTAATTTTATTAATGACAAAAGGCCCCCCTCTCATTTCTTCTATTTCTCTCTCCCTCTATTTTATTGTTTATGTTGCATTTACCTTCTTTTTACTTTCTTACTTTAATTTTTATTGAGAATATGAAAATATACATTTCCATGACAAACTTTCACAGTTTACATGAGTATGTTGTCATGAAAAGGATCAACAACAAGCGGAGAAAGAGTACACATCTTTACATCATATCACACTTGGGTTTGCTTTTACATTTTTACAGTTGTGAATCATACATGCATAGGTGAAACAGATTCGTAACAAGGGACCATGTCATTTGCTGTGAAATATGTGACTCTAAATACTTCTGTCCTTAGTGCCTTCCATGGGTACTGAGTAGGGAGAGTAAACATACAAACAGTGGCTTCATGCCTCATGTTGGTGGAGATGTGCTTAGTTTGATATTAGTTTGACGTGGTGAGGTAAGAGATGTATATGGTCTATGGAATGTTTGAGAAACAATTAGAGTAAGGATCATAGGGTCGATTTTGGGTGTCTAAGTAACATCACCTGTTCCTTCTTCAGTGCGAAGTGGTGGGAGTGTAGCATCAGTCAGCTAAGAGGTTGTCCAGACCAAGTTAGTCTGTGTAATGCCCTCTGTTTTACAGTTTGCTCCCAAGGACCGGGGAGACTGGATGAGAGGGGGTAAAGTGCTGGTGAATGGGATTTGAGGGCAGGCAATGGGACGTGGTGTAAATTTATTTTTCGTTTGGGGGGGCTTGTTATATTTGACACGTTTGTACAGTGTGCATCGTGGGTGGAATAGGATAAAGCCTATTGTGTGAGTTTCAATTCTGAGATAGTGGGTTGGTGGGGATGTGTTGTCGCTACTCTGGTGTTGATTGGTTTATTGATCATTCATGAATCTCATCCATGGCTCTCACACCACCTGGTAGAGTGAGTATTTGTGGGATATGGAGGCATGAACTTCATCCATAGTTTTAATAGTTTCAACTTTGGTGATCCAGTCTCTGATGGAGGGGTGTTGGGGTTTTTCCATCTCATGGGGATTAAATTGACGGTTGTGAGGAGGTGAGTAAGAGGTGAGTGTTTTGGGAAACGGACAAGGAAAGATCAGAAATACCATTGTATGTGGTGTGTGATGGATTTGGAGTCCTGTCACTGTTTGGATCATCTTCCCTATGTTGGTCCAGTATTTCTGGACAAGTGGGCAGTACCACCAGGTGTGGGCTAGAATTGCTCCAGATTGAGAGCATTTCCAGCAGGTATCTAGTGTGTTCGGCAATAGGTTGTGTAATTTAGATGGAGAATAGTGCCATCTCGAAATCCTCTTGTAGCCACTCTCTTGAACATTGGTACAAATCGAGACTGTGTGTATCTGCCGTAAAATAGTGTTCCAGTGTGGTTGTGTAAGCTGGATGTTGAGATCCATGTTCTACTTTTCTGTATACAGAGGTAGGGAGGTGTTGTGTTCTGATTGGAGGATTTTGTAGTATGTTGAGAGTTGTTTTGTTTTTACATTATGGGTAATGCAGTGATTTTCAAAGTCTGAATGGGTTCTGGACCCCTTCAGGAGGTTGGCAATAGCCTTTAAGAAGTGGGTGAGTTGTGCAAACTGGAATAGATGGACCAGGCTTGGGTTCCCCAGACCCTACCGTCTACTAGAGATCCTAAGTATTGTGAGTCATTGGAGCATTGGAAATGTAGGTAAGAAGTGGCTTGGAGTCCTGGTGAGAAGGGGTGGGGGAAAATATCTGTGGCCTCCCTCGTGCACTTCCAAAAGTGAATCATTTGACTTTTTCCCAGAATTTCACCAAGAGTTCCCATTGTCACCATACGCTCATCATAGTGCCCTCTGTGCTTTGGCACCTCCAACATGTGGAGAGTGTATTAGGGAAAATAGCATGTAATCTGGTTGGTACCAAGTACTACCTGTACAACACTTTGTGATGTTGTTCAGTGTGGTCAGAGGATTTGATAAGACCCACTGGGGCATTAATATTTTGTTCCCATTGCTTGGGGATATAGGACAATAAAGATCAGATTCCCACTGCTTGGCAGGGTTGGATTCTGAAAAATAAACATTGTCAGAGTTCAGTTTATAATACATGGAGATTAGTTTACAATGTAGCAGTAAATAACTATTAATAAACATTTGTTCCAATGCTGTAATTGCAATGGATGTGACCTTTCATGGGCCTTCTTGTATCGCAAAAAAAGATCTAATTTATATCCATGTTTTTTTTTCCAGATTTGTAAAAACAGTAGCGTGTGAGGTGAGGAGGAGCCTAAACTCAGTTTTTAACACTATAGTGAAAGGAATACAGATTGCTGCACATTCACCCTTACTTCCAGTGTTTCACTATGAGAAGTACAAAGTTACAATGAAGGACAAGTCTGATGCTGATTATCAAAGTCAACCCTTTATTTTTACAGGTGCTCAGAGAGGAATGGATCCAAAATAATCCAAAACACTCCAGCTTTGTAATACATGTATAATGCTGGGATGTTCCTGTAATATCTTCACTTATCCCTATACTTAATAATTATGTTATGTGGGACGTTTAAAATAAAACTAAATGTAGAAATGAACAACTATTTATCATGCAAGTGGGCACCTCCATCATAGCTTCCTGTTAATCATCATTGTTAGCTTTCTACTTTGCACCTGGTAGGCTGCATAGAGAAAGCATACAGAGACAAAGAGAAATTATATAATGTTTCTTTTTCTCCTCCTCATTTGCTATGTGTGCCCTTGCTGTGCCTGGACAGAACTGAAATGTGATCACATAAAAAAAACAAAAAAAACGTTAACACAAATTATGTGTTTTTTTT